CACATTGCGATACAAATTTAGCTAATCTGTTTGAAAACAATAACTATTTCTATCCACCAACTGAAGAGTCGAATTCATCATCAGATAGTCAAGCTCAAGTTTCTGAAACCGATTCTCAATCGACCATTATATCAGAATTGAATCATGATATTGAACGTTCGAAAATTGATTCATTTTATTTTGAAGAAACACAGCAAGACAATAGTGATGTGAATAGTAATGCAGATGAAGAAACAAATAATAATGCGGAAGAAGTAAATGGTGCTGTTTATAAAAAAGTAATTAGTAATGCGGATGAAGAAGTAAATAGTGTGAGTATAAATTTTAATAATGTTTATTAATATTTACACTCTATCCTCGCTATAACGGTGTGATCGGGCTTAGAACTTCCATCAGTTATAATAAATATCTGCTATAAAATAAAATATTCACGAGGGTTGAGTGTATTTGTTCAATAATATTTATAAATATTTAATTGTTAAATTATAATTTTATCAATACACTAATCGATTATATAAATTACAGGATGTGAGTATAAAGTTTAATAATATTTATTAAATTAAAAAAATTATAATTTATAATGAATTAATCAATACATTAATCGATTACAGAGAGATATAGTTTTCATTAGTGATACAGAAGAAGAAATGTATAGCAATATGGATGAAGATGAAGCGCAAGAAATAAATAACAATTTGGCTGAAATGCAAGAAATGAATAACAACATGGATGAAATGCAAGAAATGAATAACGATATGGAAGAAGTGCAAGATTATTTTGAAGCTCAAATTACTAGTAACGAAATTATTATTATTGACGATTCTGATTAAGGTTGCTTACCGTAATACGTTTTGGCTGATTTTACTCTGATCAGTTATATCACATTATGTGAGAATTAAGTTTATAAGTATTATGACATTAACATGATAAAAACTTATACATACATTACTTTAAACATACGAAAGATAATTGCTAAGAATTTTTACTAATAATATATGATTCTTATATATGAGAAGCAATATAATGAATTTATTTAAAACTACATAGTTTATTTAAAAACATAAGTCTTTAAAAAAATGAACGTAAACGCCATTGTCTTTGAAATTGGTTTCATAATAAATAGTTTCACAACGAATATTTCAATTTACACCGATTCCTCCAATTATATTTATTTATATGTTTTTAAATTTTGTTTTTATGTCTTCTATGTAATTTTTACAGAATATGTAGCATAATAGTCTATATATTTTGTAAAAATAGAGTTTTGTAGATACAAAGCTATTATAAAGAAAAAATAAAAGATAAAAAACTAGTATAAAATTATTTAAAAGCTAATATTTTTGGAGTAATATCTTTTATTTATTTTTGCCCATTTATTTCTACTTGTTTTAGCAAAAATTTATTTAAAAACCATCTAAAAATTAAATTACATGTACTATAAGTTGCTGGCTCATATATCACCTATGATTTATATCCAATAGATGTTTTAGGCTAAGTTTTGTTTTATACTCAAGTACTAGAGGTTAGAGCCATAAATATCCATGGATAAAAATAAACTTTTAATTAAAAGCGAATATTCAGAT